CAACTGGTGTCACATGCTTGACAAGTAGACTGACCTTTTCCTCCACCAGGCCTTTACCTCTCCTCTCCAAGTACTTATCTACTGTTTTTACGTTGTCAAGATTTAAAAAAATTATGTTCTATAATTAAAGCTCTTCTGTAATACCTAAAGGTTGATACAATAAAAATCAAAATATCAACATATGTAAGAACCACCTGATGTGTCTGAACTCATAGAGAATGAAATATACACGAGGTCACTAAAATTTTGCCACTTGATGAGAATCTTTCAAATATCAACATCCAACAGATAAATCTTCACTTTCTGTCAAACTCCCCTTACTTTTCCAGGCTCACTGTCAGCTGACATTGTTTTGAGTATCCCAAGTCATCTCCTTTTCTTAGAATCCTTTTCCATTTTCCTGGCCCCATCCTCAGACCAGACCAATTAAATCAGGATATATGGGAGGTGGATACCATATGTGGTGGATTTTATGTGTCAACTTGCCTAGGCTGGGGGCCCAGATATTTTGAGTGAGGCCCAAACAAGAGAAGGCAACTCACAGGTCAGGCTGCCGCAGGAGCTGCTCCGCCGCTCAGGTCACATGGTCCAGCAGATCCAGTGGTGCCTGAAGCATCAATGGCAGAAAGGGGTGCTGCCTGACCCCACAGGTGGATCTCAGGGCAGGCCCTTAGGGTTTGGAGCAAAGCCTGCCGCCCTCCACAGACAACTACTCTCCTTTCGAGAAACAGCTCTTGGCCTGCTACCAGGCCTCGGGAGAGGCTGAACGCGTACCCATGACCAACAAGTCACCCCGTGATCTGAGCTGCCGTCATGAACTGGGTGACCCATCAGCCACCAAGTGAGGCATGCAGAGCAGCGCTCTGTCATCACGTGGAAGCGGTACATATGTGATCCGGCTGGAGCAGGCCCTGAAGGCTCACGTTACACGAGGAAGTGGCCCAAATGTCAGGTCCCCACTCCTGCTCCACTGCCTTCTCGTCCCAGCCTGCACCCGTGGCCTCACGGGGAGCTCCCCACGGTAAGCTGGCAGAGGAAGAGCAGACTGGGCCTGGGTTACAGATGGCTCTGCACGATATGCAGACACCGCCCCCAAGTGGACAGCTGCAGCACTACAGCCCTTCCCGGGACACCCCTCCAGGACATGGCGGAGGGACATCCTCCCAGTGGGCAGAACTTTGAGCAGTGCACCTACCGTTCGCTTTGATTAAAGGGAGAAATGGCCGGAAGTGCGATTATTTACCAGTTCTTGGGCTGTGGTCAGTGGTTAGCTTGATGGTCAGTTACTTAGAAGGAACATGATTGGAAAATTGGTGACAAAGAAATCTGGGGAAGAGGTACATGGACCGACCTCTATGAATGGGCAAAACAGTGAAGCTGTTTGTGTCCCATGTGAACACTCACCACAGGGCGACGTCAGCAGCAGAGGATCTTAATCATCAAGTGGAGAGAATGACCTATTCTGTGGGCACCAGTCAACCTCTTTCCCCAGCCACCCATCACCGCCCAATGGTTCATGAACGAAGGGGAAATGGTGGCGGGGTGGAGGTGATACGTGGAGTGGACAACATGGACCTCACTAAGCAGGGCCGACCTGGCTACGACCACCGCTGAGCTGCCCAACCTGCCAGCAGCAGAGACCAACACTGAGCCCCACGTTGCACCATACCCTAGGGCCATCAGCCAGCTACCTGGTGGCAGGCTGATGACACGGGACCACTTCCATCGTGAAGGGGGCAGCATTTTGTCCTGACTGCAATAGACACTTACTCTGGGTATGGATTTGCTTTCCCTGCACCCAATGCTCTTGTCAAAACTACCATCCATGGATTTACCGAACACCATATCTACAGTCAAGCTATTCCACACAGCATTGCTCCTGATCAAGGAACTCACTTCACAGCAGAAGAGCTGTGGCAATGGGCCCACAGTCATGAAATTCACTGCTTTTACCACATTCCCCACCATCCTGAGCAGCTGGTTTGATGGAATGGTGGAATGGCCTTTAGAAGACTCAGTGACAGCGCCAGCTAAGTGGTGATACCTTGCAGGCTGGGGCGGGGCTCCCTGGATGCTGCATATGCTCCAAGTTAGCGTCTAATATGTGGTGTTGATTCTCCCAGAGCCGGACCCTCAGGTCCAGGAGTCAAGAGGGGGAAGTGGGCATGGTGCCCCTCACTATTACCCACAGTGACTAGCAAAATACCGACTCCTGTCCCTGTGATCTTGTGCTCTGCTGGCCTAGAGGTCTTAGTTCCACAGGGAGGAAGGCTTCCACCCCGAGACACAGCAATGATCTCACGGAACTGGAAGTTAACACTGCCACTCTGCCACCCCGCCACTTTGGGCTCCTTGTGCCTCAGAATCAACAGGCAAAGAAGGGGGTTCCTGTGCTGGCTGGGGTGGCTGACCCTGACCACCACGGGGAACTGGACTCTACTCCACGCTGGGGTAGGGAGGAGTACACCTAAGGAGGTCCCTTAGGGCATCTCTCAGTATTACCAGGCCCTGGGATTAAGGTCAGTGGAAAACAACAACCCAGGTCTGGGCAGGAACACCAACAGCCCAGGCTCCTCAGGGGTGCAGGTTCGAGTCATCCCACTAGGTGAAGAACCACGACCACCTGAGGTGCCTGCTGAAGTGTAAGATTTTGACACCACAGAAGTAAGTTATGGGAAAGCAGGAGGTATAAACGTCACTTAAGGAATGAACACCCGCCCCCATCCCTGACCTCCGCAGGTTGATTCTCTAGAGAGCCCTACCGCACTGGCATCAGCATTACTGTTTGTTTCTTACAGCCGTCCAGGTGATCATAACACGCTTCCAGGATGGATTACTCTAATTTAAGGGATCAGAATCATTATCTCATGTCACGAGAAATAAGTTTTGGGGAAAAACTCATTACCTGAACTCTTTCAGCAGCTGGCAATAAGAAACAATTACCCATTAAAAAAAAACACACAAAAACACTAAAAAATGTTTTGAAAAAGTGCTTGAGAATTTACTGTACATTTTTAAAAACAATTTATTTATATGTTGGCTTCTACATGCTCTTACATTTGTGTAAAACATTTATACATATTCTTTACAATTTGTACATATATTAAATGGCTGTATCATAAACACTGTTCTATGAGATTTTATAAAAGAAAAATCAAGTAGGGAAAATTACTTATAAAACATTAACAAAAACCCGTGATATTGAAGAACAAGAAGTTCTCATATTCATTTGATTTCCTCTTCTACTTATTTTTTGGTTTCACTTTATTTGTGCTGGCCCAAAATTTCCATTTTCTAAAACTACTAGGTCAGGAAAATGAAAGCAGTGGGAGGTGATGGATGCAGTAAGGCAGCTGTGGAGGCCGGCGTGTTGTCTGCGGAATAAGACCGTGTCTGAGTCTCAGATTTAAAGCTGACGGTTTTGCAAAGATCCTGTTCACCTTATGCTGTTAAGTGAAGTACCAGTGATGAAAAAAATTCTGGCTGAAGTTTAGGATGCAGTCGGGAGGAACAGCACCCTACACTTTTCCTCAAACATACGGCTCGGGGATTACCCCACATTCTGCAGCTGCCACCCTTACTGTCCCTAAACTTCTCCATTTGGTGGGGACGGGAGAGGTTTGCTAACCTGTGCTTTGTCTTTCCAGACAATACCCACTGGCCCGCGACTCTGCAATCCCAATCAAGTGGCAAATCACACTTTCCCCGGCGTTTCTCATTATGTCTGAACCGCTCAAGACTTAAAAGCGAGTGGAGAGCTTGGGAGGAGTGTGTGTCCTCAGAGCGCTCAGGCCTTCTCCCGGGAAGGGGGAGAGGCGCGGGGCAAGGGGGTCCGACCATGGGCTTCTGCAAGCCTGTCCTCTGAAGGCACACGTGCCGCCCATGCACAGGCACATGAGGTGACGCAGCCCGGGGGCCCCGCTCTGCTCCTGCTCTCCTGAAAACGTAAGTACTTGTGTCATAAATACATCAGTGAAAGGCATTGAGATTTTCTCCTAAATAGGCAGGAACCCCAAAGGGCTGAAAAAAGTTATAAAAATATACAAACATATATATTTTTTATTCTGGCCTATTTCTTATTTTTAAGAAAGCAATTAGCAATTATCTGACGTTGGGCAGGAACTGGAAGACTGTGCGTGACTCATAAATGACAATTTTATGTAAAGTATCAGTGGGGAAAATCCAGAATTTTCCATTCAAAATTCTGTTATCTTTAAGTACTTTCCAAAAATAGACAACTTCCACTGGTTTAAATAATGGATGTGGAAATGAACAAAAGACTAGCTCTAAATAATCAATGCATTTAGGCTGGTTAATTAAGGAAATGCAGTTTTTTTCCCATTCTATTTCTTTTTGGTTTTCTTTCTTTCACTCTTTCTTTTTTTAGTTGATGGGGGAGAAAAATAAAGTTGCGCTGCCGCAAGTCAGAGAGAAGCACTTCGGAGTTTTCTTCACGTTCCATTCTTTCTACATCACCGGGAAGCGGCCGAGGGCCTGCCTCAGCTTTTCGGCAATCTGGTGAAAGAACGAAACAACTGTGAGACGTCACTCCCACCACGACTTCATAGCACTCTGTTATTTCCGTCTCCTGTGAGTTAAGCATTACAAAACATCAAATACTTTAACCGGTCTATGCCTCTAGTCTCTCCCAGCACAACCCCAGCTTCCATGCAGCTGGAGAGACCTACCTCCCCAAGCCCCGGGAGGGGCTGCAGGAAGCCCTGCTTCTTCCCATGCCCGGCGGCTGCCTCTCCGTGTAGCAGCACCTCAAGGCCATGCACCTGTCCTCCAGTCTGCCGGGGGGGCCGGGTCTCTGTGCTTGCCTGGAATCTCCTGCTTTCCCAGACAATTGTGAACTCCAGAACCCGCTACTGCCACACAGTGAGGAAACAGGATGCACCTTCAACCCGGCCCCGAAACCAGCTGTTTCTGACACACGACTGACAATATGCACCGAGCCCATCAGTCACAGCTCTTCCAAGAACTGACTGCTGGACAGGCACCTGCTGCAGGTCCACCCGAAGGGACACGGGCGTGGATGTCAGTCTGGGGCTCGCCTATCCTCATCCCTGAATGTACATGAGGTGACACCGTGGAAACAGTGGGAAACTAGTAAGAAACATGGCAGCCAACACATGGTCAATTATAAAGTGACAGAACTTGTCTTCAGATGTCTCAGTTTCCATTTACATGCTAGATCTTTATTTTCCATACACTCTGGTAAACAACAAAATTGCTCAGCAGAGGTACCAAACTGAACTGACTGAAAATAGTAAGGTTTTTCTCTCCCTCTCCTTTCCGTTTCCTCCTTTGCTACACTGCAAAAACCTCATCACGAACAAAGCCGGCCTGTGCTGTCCGGGCAGTGCCAGGCTCCCTCCCCGGCCGAGAGCCTGCAGGGACGGGGTGACCTCATCTCATTCACAGTGTTCCCGGTGCACGGAGGGGCTGGAGGGAGGGGAAGGGACCACACAATGAGGGCTTCTTGGGGCCTCACAACTGGCATCCAACACTCCTTAAAAAAACACCAACCCCTTTTTAACCCACAGTTATTCAAAAGGAAAAGGCAGATATGATTAAAAGAGGTTAAAACAACAAAAAAAAAACCCCAAAACCTTACTCAACATTTAGCTTCCTTTGGTTTATTAGCTAAGATTAAAAACTACAAGCAGATCAACTTCACACGGACTCCTGCTCTCCCGGAGGCGGGGAGGCCTGGCAGCGGGACTCACCGTCTCGTAGAACCGCGCCTGCTGCTCCAGGTACAGGCGGATGACGCTGTTGTAGTCATAGATCCGGTTACTATGAAAGTGATTCATCTCAGCTACAACCAAACCAAGACATCCGTCAGTTCCCCCAAGACTTCACACGGCAGCACCTGGTCTCTGCTCGGTTATGATTAATCACCAACCAGATTTGATCTGGTTGGCCTGTGCCAGTTTCTGACAAAATGTTATCAAGAGGCTAGAAAAACCACGTGAACAGTTAAAGGCTGACAGCATTTCCGGTGGATGGATGAGCACTGCTGATTTGCACGCTATACACTACAAAGCCCAACGCCGTCACCCGAACGGGCCCGCTGAAAGGGCCCGCTGTTTGAGCAGGAAACCGACTTGGCCCGTTCCCTACCGGGGACTGCAGTTCAGAATGTCAAGCCTGTTTACGGTGGACCTAGCCAGGTGCCCACTGGGCCCTGCCCGTCCCCTCCTGCACAGGGACTGCCCAGGCAGGTTTCTTGAGGCCCCTTTGAAAGGCTGGGTGGAGGACGGAAGCCCTTCTTTTCTTAGGAGGGGGACAACTAGGTTTTTGTTTATTTGCTTATTTAATGGAGGTACTGGGGCTCGAACCCAAGACCTCAGGACCTCACGCATGTAAAGCGCGTGCTCTACCTCTGAGCTATATCCTCCCCGCCGGAAGGCCTTCTTCTGAGTGAAGCTTCGTGCCGCTGAGAACCAGGGCTGCCAGAACTCAGCCTCTTGGCAGGCAGAGGGTCAGACGCCCATCCTTCATGTTTGCTGAATATACTGACTCAGCAAATAAACCTCCTCAAAATTCTCTCAGTACCCCCTCCACCTGTGACCAACTCTGGAGAGGCCATCCTCACCGGGGTTCCTTATCACCTCGCCACCTGTCTGTCCCCCATACTCCGCACTACAAAGCCAACTGCGGGCATAAATTCCTACAAAAAGCTCGTTGTTCTGAGTTTTATGTTGTTATCAGAAGTCATACAAAGCTTCTATCTACCTGAATAACCTCAAACACAAGTTTAAAACCAGCTTCCCCTTGTGAAACCCTTCAAAGCCCAAAGCTTCAATCAAGGCTTCCCTGTTTCTGCTCCGAGTTGCCCTAGTTCTGGAAATGGTTCACACATTTTCTCTTTCCCCCACTACTTCCCGGGTCCTGATGGCTGGTCCATGGAAAAGCCCGCAAACATGTTTTGTTCTCTCCCTGGCACTCCATCTTCTCTGAGGCCTTAGAATCTCAGACGACAGGAGCCACGTGTCCGGCTGGGCTGTCTGACTAACACTGGCCCGTAACGTGCCCCCTGCCCCCCGCCCTCCCCCTGTCACTAGCAAACCCTCTCCCTCAAGCAATGTTTTTTTGTTTGTTTTGTTTTTTCCCTCAAAACTTTTTAATGGCTTCTTAATGCCCACGGCAAGTTTAGACTCTTCTGCTGGCTTCTGAGGGCCTCCACAATCACCAAACTTTTCCCCCAATAACCTGCAAGTGTGTTTTATTCCCAGAGGCCAGTGACATCATCTGGTATCACGCTCTGTGCACTTCTGTTCACACTAGAACAGCCTTCTGCTCCCCACTCTGCCCATGTCTGTCTTTTCCATCCACCAAAACAGGAAAAATCCATTCACTGCTTCTATCTGCTGGAAAACACTCAAAAAAATACTATCTTCTCTTTACTAACAGGCTAACTATGCCAAAAATGCTATGTACAAGCTCCCTTCACATTCTGTGGTCTCAGGGCCCGGAGGTTACATACCGTTAAAAGCTGAACTCTGGAATGTAACAGAGGGTTGCGTTAGGGGCTGATATTAAAGATTATAAAAGGAACCCTCAAGGTCTCTAAGAAATAATAAAACGTACAGCTTTAATCAAGGTGCTATGTCAGGTAAATGTGTGGAAAAGTAAGTACAGCTTCTCATTAACACTGGGATCTTGTAAACAAGAGGCTTATGAAAATATTTTAAATCGGGTCTAAGTAATTTAACTGCTGTTCACATTTGAATTTCTCTTCAGCAAGGAAAACGGAAAATTTGCTGAGGGAAATACCTCCACTAGGTACACACGAACCTTTGTCTTACCTTGTAACGCGTAAGACATGGTGCCAACGCGTTTCACCATGTTCTGTTTGTCCTGGGGGGTGATCTTACTAGTTGCGACCAGTTTATCACTCTCTTTCACTTTTTCTATTGCTCCCTGTGAAATATAAAATGCAGGGGTATTAACGAAACAAATCTAAAAGGATTAGCCATTAGTTTAAAATATAACGAAGCTAACATATCGTATCATTGACTTGCTACTGAATAGGAAAATGTCCCCTCAAAAAAAGGACATAAGGGCAGCATCTAAATGTAACTTCCTGTAAGTCACTGGGAAACAAAAAGGTTGCTATTCTTGCAAAACATAACTAAGCTAAAATCTACAGGCCGCAACAAAGCAGAAGACTAAACGGCGCTCTATTTCTGTGCTATTTATAAGCCACTGGCAGGAT